GAAAAAAGTGCAACCACCAGTCTGGAGAAGAAACGTGCCATCAGCCAGAGGGACATGCCTGCCGGGGATGGGCTGGGACGGGCTTTTAGGTTCCTGTCAGCAAAACTGCACCTAAAGCTCAACATCCCCCAACCCCCACCGGGCTCCTGAAATGGGGTGAACCCCCCCAAAAACCACGAAACAGGAACCAGGGAGCACGGGTGTAGTGGGGCTGTGCACCAAAAGCTGCTCCTCTGGCATTGCCCTGTGGCTCCGTGTCCCCCTTCCCAGGCCTCAGGGCTTGGGGAGCAACACCCCTCCAACGGCACTGGGCACCCCTCTGTGCCCTTCATTAAGCAGATAATGAGGCAAATGACACTGATTTTTCGTAACACCCGTTTGACCCAAAGCTGGGTACAGCGTCCCCACCGCTCCCCCGCTGAGGCAATTACTTATCCTTCACCTTGATGCCATCAGGAGGCTCAGCCACTCGCACGTCACCATTTTGGGTGTTTCCAGGTTGCTGTGTCACATCCCACGAGGACGTCACCGCTCAGGGTCCCCCGCAGGTCCCCAGGGAAAGGGCTGGTGGAAAAGCCAGGGCCGTGGGAACACTCAGCTCCAGCCCCCAGGGACCAGCTCATGGGGAAAAGCCCCATTTCCCCCCGAGATGTGCCACCAACAGTCTCAACCGTCCCACCAAAGGCGGGTGGGACACCCCTTTCAGTGGGTGTGGGGTGACTGGGTCGCAGGGAACACCCGTTCCACCAGCACATCTTGGCCACAGAACCAAATTTCAGGCTGGATCAGCATCTTCTCCGACGTTTCACTGCCACCCTTCTCGGTTTTCCAACATGATCAAGTGAATGATGAGAGGAAAGGGAAGTATTATTATTATTATTACTGTTATTATTATTATTATTCATTATGTTTAACATTTCAAATAAAACCACGTTGTGTTGTAAACAGAAGCTCACTCCTCAGGTCTGCCCAGCCAGTCCCAGCTAAGGTTTATGTTTGAAATGGGCTTCCACTGAAAGAAAAAAATAGAGAAAAATCAAGTTTAAAAGCAGGACAAGCACTGGCAGGCAATGACAGCCCGGCACAAACCCACCCCACAGATGGTCCATTGTCCATGTCATGTTGCTCCTTGGGTCCGATTATCCTTATAACTGGGTGACTGATCATCCTTGTAGCACCATGGACATCATGCCAGAGGTAATAAAGAGGGAAGGATACCATCCTCCTCCTCCCAATGGGAGTCCCTGTCTGCTTGGACAGACTTTGCACCATCCCTTCACGCCTGGATGCTGCTGCATCCCTGATCCCCTTCCACCCCACATCCTCTAACGCAGGGGAAGTGAAGGGGCCGAGGCCGACCTCCATCCTCGCCCGCAAACACACCTGCGTATTCCTGAGGCAGCATCGGCCGGCTTATAACTTTCTGAAAAGTCGTAATCCACTCAAGCTGGTCGTCCTCCGTCTCACAGGCAAAGAGGAATTTCCGATCCGGGGTGACGATGGTTATCCCGTGCTGCCAGTGGTTTCCCTGCGTGGACGGTGGGAGCCCTTCCAGGACCTTGTAGCTGTTTTCCTTGCTCCCAATGAAGACTTCCCCTCTAGCAAAGGCATCCTAGGAGACAGCAGAGCGGTCAGGCAGGTGTGATTGCGAAGAGCGCACAATCACACAGCTCCTCCTGCACCATCCAGGAGCCCCATCAGCAAAGTGCAGCACCAGCCACCCCACAAAGCCCTGTTCTATCTCCTCCCGGGGACACCCACGATATGGGATCAACACCAGGGATCCAAAATCCAGAGGCAGCTGGTCCACAGCATTTCCAAAGCATTTTTGGTGAGTATCTACACACGCTGGACACCAGGCAGATCAGTGACAGCTCAGTGCCCTCTTGCTTCTCCCACCAGCCTCAGCTTCACTGCATACTATTACTACTACTACTATTACAACAGATCATTCCCAACAAACAGCCCAGGCACCTTCATCTTACCAGGGGATCTTTGAAATACATGAGCCGTCGGTCATCCATGGTGAACCATCGCTTCTTGAATCCCTCTGTTTGCTGGAATGTCAAAAAAATACCAGATTACACCCCAAAGCAGCACAGCTCCCCTTACTGGGCATGACCCAGGAGGATCAAGGCACTCGGAGGAGCCCAGTGGGCTGGGGGAGTTGGGAACAGACAGCTTCTGAGCCACCAAGGCCGGGATCTGGGCTAGCTATGCTAGCTGGGGTTGCAGGAACAGGTAGTGGGAGGGGAGATGGGGTGGTTGGTTGGTGAAGTGGTTCTGGATTTTTTTTAACATTTGCTCCTAGGTGGAGAAAGTGTATCAACACATGCATGATGTTAAGGCTGGGCAAGGGTAGGTTTGTCCCACCAACAGACCCTTCTCAGCCCCATACAGAGCAAGACTCCTGTTTAGAGAGACCACAGAAACATTTTATATCCTACCTTTGGCCCCGTTTTCTCCATGTACCCTTCCTTCAGGTAGTTTCTAGAAAGCTTTGGCACCAGCTGGAGCAACCGAAGAGGAGAGAAAAGAGAGCAGCATCAGATGGAGGGAGCTGGGGCATCACCAAGTATGTGGGGCAGGGCTGGGGGGTCACTAGAAGGAAAACCCACACCAAGCTCACCCCAGCCCCAAGCCCACCCAACAGCTTGGGCTGAACACTTCATCCCCACTTCTCCAAAGCGCTCAAAGAGGCTGGTGCAGAAGTGTGAAGCATCTCTGAGCACTTTGCCAGCAAAGCCAACAACCTCCAGGAGAAGCCCCTGGGCCACTTCACCGGTCAGCTCTGGCAAAGCATCTCCTCCACCAGACGCAGTGGGAGCTCCTCATGCAAGCCCTAAAGTAGAATTTGCCTGTAAAATCCCATTACTACCCGGTGCCCGTGCACTCCTCCTGCCTGCAGGGATGGCTGACAATGGCAACCAGTGCCGGGGATATTTTTAACACCGCTTAGTGAAGACAAGGCAGTAGCTGCGAGATCTTTGCAGATGCCTCTGAAAGCCTCTTGAAAGATAACAAGTCTCACCAAAAATGGGGCCAGCGAGCCTGGCCATGCACTCTGTCTCCCTGACCCTGCTCCTGCTTTCCATTTAAACAGGTTATTAACAGCTTTGCTTGCCAAACCACGCTCCAGCAACACCCAACTTTGCCCAACAGCAGCTCTGGTTGAGCAGGTGTGTGCTTGCAGGGCAAAGATACCCCAAACCACAACAGCCCGAAGAATGACAGAGCTGTTCCGCAGCAGCCAGGAGCATCTTTGTCTTGGACGCTCCATCATGGGCAGTGAAGGGCTCTGCAGCCTTTGTAGCCCCAGCGTTTGGCTCCCGGGGCCCCGGTGTTTGGCTCCCGGGACAGGGACACTTTGCTAAGCAAGGAGCTCATCGTTCTTGGCTCAGAGAGGTTCCTCCACCCTGCAGATGGGTCTCCAAAGCATCCTTTGGAGAATTGTGCTCCCTGGGAGCATCCTTGGGGTGGTGTGAGCAATTTAGAGCTCTCTACTTCATTTAACCTGCCTCCATCTCTCTGGCAGGGAAGAGGAACCATAAATTAGATGCAAATGATGGCAAACACCCCGGAATGAGCTACCTCACGTATGTAACACAATCTCTGCAGAGTTGTCCCCAAGCTGAATGCTCTGAGGGGTTGTGCAGCATTCCAAGGTCATAAATTAAACCTCATTAAACTTTACACTTCCTGTTTCCCCCGAAGAATAACTGATGAGAAAGGGATGAGAAGAAAAATATAAATAGCTTATTTCCCACCAACACTGTCAGGGGGTGAGTTTATAAACCCCCTCACCAGCTGCTGGACAAATGGCAGCTCTGTTATGGCCTGTGGGATTTTTTCAGGGCAATTAGATTCAGATATTCCAACCAACTTTAACAGAAGTCGAGGATATGGAGAGGGGGAAGAAATGATTAAGGAAAGTAGACACTGCATGGTGACTGCACTACAGCCAGCCAACCAGGCCCACATGGTTCTTTTGATTTGCCCAGTTTAACTTCTTATCAGAAAATGGTCTAAAGTCCCTCATGCCAGGCATCACCAGCCATGGGACTGTTCTCCTTTCTCCTCTCTTCATTCTCCCCAGGGATTAGGACGATTTGGGGCAGCTGACAGCGATCTGATGAGAAGGCTTTGGGTCTGGCTGGTCCTCAGGGTGCAGGAGCAGCCACGGGACAGAGCCACCCAGCACCCAGAGCCGGCCTCGGACCACCACCAGACCCCTCCCTGGTAATTAATAGAAGGAGGTAATGCAATTACATTTCAAAATCTACAAAGTCAAGAAGGTAACAGAGTAACCACCAACAACAAAGTCCAGAGCCAGTGACCTTACACAGCAACTGCAATACAAGGCACTTACAGTCGGCTCAGACTAATACAGCCTCTAGTATCATATTAGCAAAGATAATGCAATTAGCAGTCCCAGCTCCGGAAAATACAAGGCAGAGATTCCTAACACAGGCTGCACTGATCTGCACAGATGAACTAATTCCAGAGGCTGGATACAGCACTGACACTCCTTTGCCTTCATCTTTTCTACCTTCCAGCCTTTGTTTCAGCTTTTAATATTATAGCAACAATCTTGGAGAAAGATACTTAGAGCTTCCGTACGCTTGACAGCGCTGGAGTTACTCATAGGCACGACTCACATTTTGAGTGTGAACATGTGCACACACACACACGGTTTCCAAGGTTGGATGTTGGTACCAGGTGCTGCACGTGGGCTCTACAACCCACCACAATAATTTCAGCCCAGGAATTGTAAAGCATTCTGAAGGATGGAGCGCTCTCCAAGCTTTCCAGCTTGGTAACAAGATGCTAAAAATGAGCAAGAGGGAAAAAACAAAACCAAAAACCTGCAGGAAAACTCACATCAGCATCGCTGGCTCCAGGGAACGCCACTTGTAAGTAATGAAAACGTGCTGCCCGGATGGCGTTGAACCAATCCACTATTTCCTAATAACGAGAAAGAAAAGCACAGTGAGGAACGTCTGCTCATAAAACACATGATTCTGCTGCGTCCCATGTCTCATCACCTTGTCCCAAGTGACAGAGTGTAGTTTAGCAGCAGTCCTAAAAAAATAAAATACAGACAGAAAAGGCAGCAGCAAATGGGTGTAGGATGGGGAACATCCAGCCACTGTCCCAGGCTGCAAGACGTGCACAGAGCTCTGCAGACCCCAGTGAGCACCGAGGGGCTTCTGCAGAGGGAAGGATTCGAGCACATCTCAGAACTGGCAAGACCAGCATCAAATCAGCACTGGAGATATCGAGCTCAGCTCTGAGCTTGTGCTCAGCTCACGCTGGATGGGTGTAAAGGCAGCCAGACACCTCTGCAGCCTAGAGCTGACTGCACGCAGGACAGGTGAGCAATACCTGAATCCCACCCAAATTGTTAGTCCTTAGCAACGTACTTCAATGTTTCGCTAAAAGAGTGGCCAAATATCTCTTGGTCTTTGTAGGCCAGTCTATCAGTCCTATCTGCAAGTCCTCTAGGGACAAGCACAGTGACACTGAAGTCCCAGCTCAATTCACAGATGCTCTGGCACTTCTTGCTTTCCTTGGCAGAAAACTCTCTCTGCTTTTTGGGTGGGGTTTTTTTCCCCTCTAAAATAATCGGTTTATTACTTCTTTGATTTTAAACTCACCTATTCATTTGTCTCTGGTGAGACCCACAGAGCTTGTGCTGCACTGGATGCCTGTTTGAAGGTTTCACCGAGAAATGACACATTAATTTTAAAGTGATCCACACAGGGAGCTCTTGAATCACTGCCTCGTGGTCTGAAGGTCCGGGCAAAGGAAAGGCATTTTGGAAGGGGCATGTAAGAGCTGATGCTGCAGGGAGATGGATGCTGAACTCTCTGGCTGTCATTAACGCATGTGAAGCTTCACACTTCAAGGGCAGGTTCAATGAGCCAGACTTGATCCTAAAATAAACACTGTCAACCCTGTCAGGTGAGGCTGCTGTAGCGTAGGAAAGACCATATCAAAGCAGAAGTTGGCCTTCAGTAAGATTTAAACTTTTTTAAGCTTAAAAATGCTTGGGGAAAAGAAAAGGCTCTTATGTGTCATTTTGGAGATCTCGGTATTAAGGAGTCGAATTGGAGGTAGCTCAAAAGTGAGAGGTGGCAAATAGCCATCCTCTAGAAGTTGAAATGCTTTGCTTTGGCTTGTTGATCTACTTCAAGTGTAGGGGAAAAAAACCCCCATAATAGGACCTACACAAGTAATGTTCTGGAAAACCCTGACCTACTTGACTGAGGTTTTACTTACTTACTACTTGCTTTCCTAAGCTAAGCAGCTAAGCAGACCCCAGATAGCAGCACAAAGAGGATCAGCGAGAGGAATTGGCTCCTGATAATCAAACCAGGCTGGAGGTAATGAAAAATAAGCTGCAATGTTCAAATGTTCTTATTTCATACAGTCACCAAGCGGACGGCTATTTATAAATATATATATATATAAAAATATATCTATGGGAGTTCTCCTTGATCATGACGCAAGACAGGGTTGTACCCTGCAGAAAAGCAGAGGCTGAAACCCTCTCTGACTTCCAACAGTCGATTGCTTCTTAGAGTATTGATCGTCCATCACTGGAGGAAGGAGCACCACCACCCTTCTTTACACAAACCTGCACCTGTGTCTGCAAAGCCAGAAAGCTCAGTTGCTAAAAATTTTCTGTGTGTATAATTATGAACAACGCCACAGACAGAGCGAGGGGATTGTATCTGATGTATTAAACCAACTTTAAACTGCTCAGTGTTTTCAGATGGGAAGATGTTGTCTCATGAGCTTGTTAGCCAAGATTCCTTCCACTGATTTATGTCTCAGAGCAAGCAGAGAAAACAAACTACTGCCTGCACCTTTGCAAACGGCTTTTCCAGGCTCTCAACTTCCTCCTGGTCTGCTTGCAGTGCCACCGCAGACTTCCCCTCTGCAAGCCACCTTGGTGTCCCTCCAGTCTGCATCCTGAACCGGAGCCACCCACATTGCCACGGCAGTCTCAGACTGATAACCGCAGATAAAAATGCAACTTCTTCTCACCATACCTCCTGTTCATCAGTC